AATCGAGGCTACCACCAATACCAAACCTCCTCTGAAGATGGCTTCTCTCAAGGACGCCAGAACAGTGGTTGAAGAAGGTGGGTGTACCAATTAGGGACGGCTCCCTGATTTTACTCACAAAACTGACAAATTTGGTTTGGGCTTTACTTCAGGGGCTCAAAGGTATGTTCGATGTGCTCGGGCTGGAGGACCTCCCCTACGCATCAACAATCGTGGGTCAACGCTATTGAAGACAGTGAGAAAGACCCTGACATTGACAGCTGGATCTACCCGACTACCAACGGTGGACCGAATAATTGGACAACTAGAGATTTTATTCCAGTTTCTTTTATTCCTCAATAATTGTCTTACTTATGTTCTGAATTTGTAATGAACAATTTTTAAAACTTTTTGGCCTTGTGTCTTACCCAAGGCACAATGTTTCTATCTGTGAGGGTTATTATATGTCATTTCATATATCATCAATGAAGCATTAGACGTTCTTTGCATACAAATTTTACGCTCTCTGTTTTTCTTTCTTTCTTATTTTCTGTTTTTACTTTATCAATTCAGCTATGCTCTTACACACACGCATGTATCAAACTGCATATCCATATCCACTATGGATCCCATTGATAACAATTCTGCTACTGCCAATTATGACTTTGAAAATCCGATCAACCGAGCCAAGGACGAAGGTGATAATGATGGTGAGGTGCCTGGAGAACTGGCTAGACTATTACAACAGGAAGAGAGGGCTTTACAGCCTCATGAAGTGTCGGTTGAGACAATACACTTGAGCACAGAGACGGACGAAAAGTCAAGATCAGCATAAGTCTAGAAGTTAAGATCAAGCAGCAGTTGATACAGATGTTGCACGACTACGTTGAGATTTTTGCCTGGTCATATGAAGACATGCCTGGTTTAGACACTGACATCGTGGTACACCGTCTCCCAACTAAAGAGGATTATCCTCCGATTAAATAGAAGGTCCTCCGTATGCATCCTGAAATGTCAGAGAAGATAAAGGCAGAGGTCATGAAGCAGTTTGATGTAGGTTTCTTAGTTGTCACCTCCTATCCACAGTAGGTTGCTAACGTCTTTCTGGTACCTAAGAAGGATGGCAAGGTACAAATGTGTGTGGATTACATAGATCTGAACAAGGCAAGCCCCAAGGATGACTTCCCACTTCCCCATATTGATGTTCTGGTTGACAACACCGCGTAACACAAAATCTTCTCCTTCTAGGATGGTTTCTCTGGCTACAACCAGATCAAGATGGCTCCTGAAGACATGGAGAAGACGACCTTTGTCACACAGTGGGGCACCTTCTGTTACAAGGTGATGCCTTTTGGGTTGAAGAATGCTGGGGAAACTTATCAGCGAGCCATGGTCGCTCTGTTCCACGATATGATTCACCACGAGATCGAGGTTTATGTTGATAATATGATAGTCAGGTCTCAAACCGAAGAGGAACATCTCGATCATCTACAAAAATTGTTCGACAGGTTGAAGATATACAAGCTGAGGTTGAATCCGAACAAGTGCACCTTCGGGATAAGGTCTGGTAAGCTTTTGGGTTTCGTCGTCAGTGACAAAGGTATTCAGGTAGACCCCACAAAGGTAAAGACCATACAAGAGATGCCGGCTCCCCGTACTGAGAAGGAAGTTAGAAGTTTCTTGGGACGCTTGAATTATATCGCCAGGTTCATTTTACATCTGACTGCTACTTGTGAGCCCATCTTCAAGCTTCTGAAGAAAGATCAAGTGGTAAAGTGGAATGACGAATGTCATACAATTGATTTTACTTTATGCTTTTATTTTTGTGCTTTATGTACCATTTAATTTAAGCATTACATTTCATGCCATTTTTATTTTGCTCACTTGGGCATTTATATTTTTGTTATTTTTTTAGTTTTGCTCACTTGAGCTTTTCTTTTCTCTTTTTAAGACACCTAATAATCAACATGAACCATAAAATGCTTTAATGATACTTGGACTATTTGGTTACTATCCTTGGCATTGTGGAGTATTGGACTTCTTGGATGTAGGGTTAGAAACCTTGGCCTATGTTGGAGACATTATGACCTTAATTGATATTTTGTCTGGAGTTCTTGAGGTTTACCTCAGGATATTGGGTTGTTTGTTTGTTTTGTATGCAGGTTATTGTGATTACATGTTTTGTTTGTAATATGGAATTCACCCGTATACAACCGTTACTCTGCCCAATTTTTGTGAAGACTTAATACACTTAAAGTTTCGTTCTCTTAAGAGGTCTAATATCTTTACTTGCTTGGTTTCAATCCAAAAATGGGAATTCTATCTTGACTCATAATGTCAAGTATTGGCTTCTTGTTAGTTAGATGGTTCTTATCCCTAACTTTTACCTTATGCTTTAGGATAGTCCCTTCTTCTCCTCCCACCTTCTTTAATTTCAAAAATCTCCCCCCTCCTTTTGAAAACTCTTCTTGTTTTGAATCTTGAACCATTTTCATAACAAACTTGGACTTATGTCCATGCATTTTCAAAACATTTTCATAAATAAATTTCAATCAACTTAATAATACTTTGGCATTTTTTGTGAGGGCTAAAAGTCAATCAATCTCATTTCAAACCATTTTGCCACTTTGGCTTTTTATTTTAAAACCTTTCTCAAAAGATTAGACTCTTGTCAATCATTGTAGTGATGCAAACAACTATACTTCTATAATATGTAGTGAAGAGAGATATTTTCCACTCGAGTGTTGAGTGAGGCATTGTTGATTTTAAAATCCAAGCCATATCCTCCATTTTGAGATGATGCAAATTCTCCTTTCTCATGATTGTGGGTAGTAAGTATGTTTTCCACACGGACAATGACGATGATGTCATATCTCATAAAATTAACCAACACACTTGTGTTTTAAATTTTTTTTTAAAGATGAACTACGTGTACCCTTATCCCCTATTGCATGGAAGGTGGTACATAGGCACTAAAAGTTCACAAATGCGGCAGGTGCAAAAATCATAAAAAATATATACTTCTTTTCTCACTTCCACCATTTATTATTTATACAACATTTTATAGCCAAAATATTCAAATTTTTTACAAAGAGGTTCCTGCGGAGTACCGTGGATGTTTAGGGTGTTAATACCTTCCCTTTTCATAACCAACCCCCTTACCTTTAATGTTTCCCTCCTCTTTTGGTTTATTCTCTCTTTTCCCATCCCTTTGGAAACAATAAAGCGCAATGGTGATTTTTATTTTTGATTTGTATAAGTCTAGTCAATCTAATGGCTTAGTCTTAAACATTTCTACCGCTACACTTACTACTGAGGAAGAATGTATGAAAAATAAATTTGGGGAAAAGAAGGAAGTATTTACGAATTTTTCTCGGTTAGGCCCCGCGACCTGTTGCCTACGTATCCCTTTCGAGGAATCAGAGCTCCGTAGTTTGGTTCATATGTTTTTGTTTGTTTTGTGTTTTTTTATGGGTGATGAACCCTTGTGAAAATAGTTTTGAGTTACGCCTTCAAGGCAAGATGCCACGTTTGGTTGGTTTGTGTTTTGTTACCTTGAAAAAGGGTTTAAGTATGATTAAGGCGTTTTATGGCTTGCTAAGAAAAATAAGGTTTTGTTTTAAATGCAAATGCAAAAAGGGAAGAAAAATGCTAAGAGGGAAATGTCTACCTATGTTAGCATACCAAAAACCTATGGAGTGAGGATAACTATCCTATAGGGAACATACAAAGATAAAAGTCATTATCTCAATGATAATTGAGTGACATCAATGATCATTAACAAAGGAAAATGATAAAGCCCTAAGGGAGCATGCAAAGATCGAAGTCGTTATCTCAATTCTAATTGAGTAACATCATCGATCGTCAACAAAGAAAGCAATGTAATCCTATGGGGAGCATGCTAAAGCCGAAGTCGTTATCTCAATGCCAATTGAGTGACATCATCATCTATCAAAAGATGAAAGCAAACATAAGCACAATTAGAAAACAAGTGCAGAATGTCTGCTACAAGTCCTTAAACAGCGACTTCGAGCGCACGCTCTTTATTTCCAACTTCTCATGATATCTAGAAAGTGGTAAAGAAATGAGATAAAGTGCGGAAAAATGTAAAAGCAGTAGCGGCAACTACCAAAAGCAAATAGATCGTCGAAAGTGAACGAAAGCAGTGGAGAAGCAAGGAGTACGTGTCGAGCAAGCTTCACGAGGAAACAAACAAAGTCAGAAACAATATCAAACTAAGATAAAAGCACACGCATGTTGCGAATGCAACGCGTAATCAGAAGTTTCTGCACAAAGTATCACAAAATATCACATGTATCTGGATAACATATAATATAATATGAATTTCTCATGACAATGAGAAATAAGGCGTGTCGCATCAGAAGCGAGCATAAGTCGTATGTCTCATTCACATAATAATTGTTATGTTACATGATCAAAAGCACCAAAATATATCTTGCACAATGAACAAACGCGTCAAAAATAACAAGGCAAAACAATGTAAAATATGAAGAGAAAAAAACTAAAAGAAAAAATATTTTTTATTAGTTTTTTATATGAAGAAAATTCTATCAAAAACTAAATAATTAATTCCCAAAATCAACTAAGAAGATCTAACAAGTTTTATTGATTTCACAATTTTTTATCATAAAAAGATATAGAAAAATTTAAGGGAAAGTCCTAAATCTCACAAGGAAAAAAAAAGAATCAGGGGGTGTGTTGCTTAGATCGAGTGTATGTTAAAAAATTGGCACCAAGGCCCAATAGAGTTTTTGTTGCATTACTTCAGGTTGCCAAAAAGTGTGTCCACGGGCTTAGGCAAAAGGCAGTTCAGTGAATTCGGTTCCAAGCCCAACACATTTGTCCAACAAATTTACAATTATCAGTCCATGATTAAGATTTTATTAAATTTATTAAAAAGAAAAAGAAAATAAATAAATAAAAAAGGAATTAACAATAGAGAAACGATGTCGTTTAGGTGAAAGGCTAGGGTTCAAACTGAGAGTGACGATTGGGCTCCCATGATATCTTCTTCGTCTCGACGAACTTCACGAATGGAGGCTATCTCCTCCTCCGACTCAACCCACAGCGTTCGACCTCTCCATCACCGTCTCAATCAAAATCACGACGCCCAAATTCCTCACATCTTCGTTCTCATCTTCATCCGCGGCTACCTCTCAATGTTCGTCTTCCTTCAAGCTTCGCCGCGATTTACCTCACTCTGTCTCAATCTCTCTCTCAATCTCCACCTCAACGTTCTTTGATCCGCAACAAACTCCTTAACATTATGTCGTCATCCTCCAATTCACCCTCATCCTTTTCAAATCACCACCTTCACTGCACGATGAAACCAAAAGCTAACACAAGGCAACAATATCTCAAATTGTGACAGCATGTAGAATCGAATCGCATGCTCGTATAATTCAACCTCTTAACAAATCCAGCAAGAACAATGGGGCGAAGGTTGAAAACTGAGAAAGAATGATTTACCTATCGAGGACGCTCTGACGGTGCTTCGAACACGATAGAGAATCAGAAATCCCGAAATAAGCTAGGTATGCACTCGTTCTTGATCCCTCTTCCTTTCTTCTTCTGCATTTTTCTTGTATTGTTGAGCATGTGTTGCTATTTTGCGATGCGTGTGCATGAATTTGATCTTGCAGTGACAAAGAATGAGGAAGATACACTCAAAGGTGATGATGAAAATGCCTAGTCTTGTAGAAGATTGCAGAAGATGATTGACGATGGAGGAGTGCAGGAGTTGAAGGACGTTGGTGAAGTGGTGGAAGAAGAAGGTGTGGTCGTTAAAGGTGGTTGAGAAAAGATGGAGATATGAGAAAGAAGCAGAGAGAAGTTGAGAGCTCTTTTTGGGGATTCTCTGATCAGTTGAAGAATGAAGTTGAATCTGGTGAGTTTTTCTGTTATGTAGTTGTGATAGTTTGTTAGAAGCTATTAATTCCTGGCCATTGGCTCATGATTTTCTGTCAGAAATTAGATGGATAGGATTGAAGGCGGATAGAGATTAGTTATAGGTTTTGTGAAATTCTGTTAAGAGTTAAAAATAGTAGGCCAAAACGGTTAAGGCTCTTTAGGAGGTTAAAGGAAGTTAGTTGGAGGTTGATGAGATTCAGTTTTCTATTATTGCTGAGCTGGCTTATTGTTTTTGATTTTTTGACATTCTCAATTGTGAACTAAATCATTATGATGGGCTCTCTATCTATCTTCTGGTTTTTTATACGTGCAGGGCGAGTTTGGTTTAGTTGTGGATTTTGGATCTGCTCTGGTTTTGTATTAATGTACAGGAGTGCAAGTTGAAGTTGCATTGGTTTGCTTGCAAACTGTTTTATGTTGAAGGTGTAGGCAGCAACAGGTTTGAAATTATGTATGCAACGAGATTTTGGCAAGGCTGCAACTTCATGTTTTATGAACTGATTTTTCCAGCTTGAGTGAATTAAGCTGATATTAACTGGTTTGGTTGTATTCTTTGTAGTTTGGTTGTACTGGTTTATTTGTCTTGATATAGGGCAGGGTTTTGAATGAGCAAGTAGGCGCATATTATGAACAGCTGCTAATTTCATGGCAAGGCATGTTTGGTTTGATGCAAGGAAGAAAGTGAGCAAGTGTTTTTGAAAGATATGGAAGCGATCTTGAAGGAGAACCATGGCATGGTACATATTTTTGGATCAAGAGCAAGTTTAGCATAGGCTTAGACTTTGATTCACAACTTTAGGACTTAGGAATTCTAGCTCGTAGTTTTTGTAACTTTGAAATCTTCTGAACTGCAAATGAAATTTGAATGAAATCCCTTTCTTCTTGTTCCAAAATTCAAAGTCTTCAAGAATGATCAACATAAGTTTTTTTTTCAATTCCCATTGAATTTCTTTGAAGAAAGATGTTTCTAATGAATGAAATTGCTTGAAAATCAAGATGAAATTGGATGAATTTGTATGCTTGTACATGAATAGATATTGATGGAATGTGATGAACTTGATAATATTGTTGCAATCTTGCATGGTATTTAAGAAACTTCAAATTCAACTTGTAAGAAATCCATGTTTCCTAAACATAATCTCCTTTGCAAATTAAGTCCCTTTGCATCTTGCTTAAATATACTTGAACCATATATATAGAACTTGAATTTGGTGAAACTTGAATGGTATTCTAATGAACTTGAACTCATGATGCACTTTGAATAATGTTTGGACCATTTCATGATTTTCATAAGAAAATGGATCCAAACCAATGTATAAATCATGTTTGCCTCTTGAAGAAACTTTAATCCCAAATCTCAAGCACCCTATGCCTTGCACTTGAAGCAACCATTGATTGAAGAATCATGCACAACCCTTACACTTTAGTTGAAGTAGCCTCAAGCATAAAGATAAAAATCTTAAATCATGCTTGCTGATTCCTTAAGAACTTCATGTGGAGAGAGAGAGAGAGAGAGAGAGAGAGAGAGAGAGAGAGAGAGGAGAGAGAGAGAGAGTGAGAGAGAGAGAGAGAGAGAGAGAGAGTAGGAGAGAGAGAGAGAGAGAGAGAGAGGAGAGAGAGAGAGAGAGAGAGATAGAGAGAGAGAGAGAGGGGGGAGAGGGGTGACGGAAGAGTTAGAGATGGAGGAGAGAGAGAGCTAGAGAG